AGTTCTTTGATGGTGGCAGGTTTAGGAAACGCCGTAACAGCTCGCAATTTCTCGGGATCCGGGAGGATGCCTTCCTTGGAAACAACGTGGCCCAAAATGTTCAGTTGACGCATGGCAAATTGACATTTTTTGAGGTTTAATTGCAAACCGGCGTTAGTTAAGCAAGTAAGGACGTGCTGAAGGCGACGTAAGTGTGTGTCAAAGTTAGGGGCGAAGACCACGATATCATCGAGGTAACACAAGCATATCTTCCATTTTAGTCCACGCAGGATGTTGTCCATCATTCGTTCGAACGTTGCAGGTGCATTGCAAAGTCCGAAGGGCATGACGGTGAATTCATATAAACCGTCTGGCGTGACAAAAGCGGTTTTGGGGCGATCGGCCTCCGCCATAGGCACCTGCCAGTAGCCTGACCGCAAGTCTAACGAGGAGAAGAACTCGGCACCCTGCAAACTGTCCAAAGCATCGTCAATGCGCGGTAGTGGATAGACATCCTTCAGCGTGATCTTGTTCAATCGCCGGAAATCGACACAGAAACGAATAGAACCGTCTTTTTTTTTTACGAGAACCACCGGAGACGCCCATGGGCTCTGTGAAGGTCGAATGACGCCTCTGCGAAGCATGTCGTCTACTTGGTCAGCAATGACGCGGCGTTCTGTAGCGGACACGCGATACGGTCGTTGTCGCAGCGGCGAGTGGGACCCAGTGTCGATGTGGTGTTCTACTGCTAAGGCACGGCCGAGAGATGTTTGTTCAACGTAGAAAGAGTGGCGGTAGCTCTCAAGAATAGTGAGGAGTTGTGAACGCTGCGAAGATGTCAAATCTGCAGCGATGAATGGTTGAAATATGTTTGCCGACGTTGAGTCAGGCGCTGAGACGACAGCCAGTTCACAGACGGAGGTAGAAGGCACCTCATCGGGGAGGGATATAACTCTGGAAGAACTGATTGTCTCGACGTGGCCAAGGCACTCGCGACAAAGTAGGGATAAAGACGACGACTCATGATTATAAATTGGCATTGTGGTTGACCCTTCTACAAGATCGAGAGCAGCAAAAGGCAGGGGGAGAGCTCTTCGGGCGACGAATATTGGAGATGGTGTGAAGAAGACCGTGCCGTCGGATATGGCGCTGCATGAAACTGGCCCGAACGCAAAAGAGCATGGAGGGATGTAGGTGTCATCGCTAACGACAAGTTTAGCGGCAAACTGGGTGTCGACGGACGCTTGGTCATCCAGTGAGCAAAATTCGACCTCAGCCCTAGCACAGTCGATTACGGCGTTATGACGCGACAAAAAGTCTCATCCCAAAATAATATTATGGGAGCATGATGAAAGAACCACGAACTCTATCGTATACAGAACGTCCTGAATTGTCACGCGGGCTGTACATACTGCGGTCGGTTGAACAGGTTGAGCACTGGCTGTGCAAAGCGATAATCCGGAGAAAGGCGTCGTAACCTTACGAATTGAGCGGCAAAATCCAGCATCTATAACCAAAACAGCTGCACCGGTATCTACAAGAGCGACAGTAGGGATATTTTCGACGAACACATCAATAACATTGGTAGGTGACAAATGAGGACTTGGGCAAACCGAAACTTGCGCAGTTCTTGCCTCAGGAACTGCGTCGTCTAGTTTTCCTCCTCGTTAGGTGCGGGCCGTCGACGCATACGAGAAGGCGAGCGGCGGCATGGAGAGGGCGAGCGAAGACGTCCCGGCCGAGGGCGGTGGTCGTCCTGGTAGCGGGCTGGCATTGGAGTGGAGGAACCGTATCGCGCGTTGGAGTCAAGCGGGAAGAAAGGCTCACGGCGGTTTTCATTGGTGATATGCGTCCGGCGGCGACAATACCTTGCGACGTGTCCGGGGTATCGACAAGCGTAACATATCGGGCGATTATCGAGGGTGCGCCACGGGTTGGCGGTGTTAGTGCTGGTCCAGTGAACTGGAGCTGGGGGATAGCTCGCGCGAGGCTGGAACGGAGGCGCAGGCGCCTTGCGAGTTGGCATGGCTGCAGCCGCGGCGTAGGTGAGGGGAGCAGCCACAAGATTAGGCTCGCGAGCAGCTGGTAAGGCCTCGGCGACCTCTCCTTGAATGACGTCACGTAGAGACGATGGTAAAGTCGCGGTAGCTTCTGGTGTGAAAGGCACCAAGGAAAGCTGTCGTGCAACTTCTTCGCGCACAAATGCTTTTATTTCGGCTATTAGTGACGCGTGTTCATGACCACTGATCACACTAGACAGCGATGCCAAATCGTGCGCTGGAGGACGTCTTGTCAGAGCTCGCTGCTTCCGCAATTCATCGTAGCTTTGGCAGAGGCTAATTACGTCGTTAACAGTCGTCGGGTTTTTGGCCAAGAGCATTTGAAAAGCGTCGTCGTCAATCCCTTTGAGGATGTGCTTACATTTTTCAGCTTCCGTCATTTCGGCGTTCACGCGTCTGCACACATCGACGACGTCCTCTATGTAACTTGTGAAGGTTTCACCCGTTTCTTGTGCGCGTGTGCGTAAACGTTGCTCGGCACGAAGTTTTCGGACGGCAGGTCGATCGAAGACTGCTACAATCGACGTTTTAAATTGCGGCCACGTTCGGACGTCTGCCTGGTGGTTTCTAAGCCAAAGGCTGGCTACACCCGCGAGATAGAACGAAACGCGTGTCAACTTGTCCGCGTCCGTCCATCTCTTTAAAGCGCTCACCCGTTCGAAAGTCGAGAGCCACTCTTCAACGTCGTTGTCATCTGTTCCACTGAAGATTGGAGGCTCCCGCTGAGGAACACTGCCTGGACAGGTGGCCGGAAGAGATGGAAGCGTCTGCTGATCGGCGTCCGGCATAGCAGAAGGTAGCCGTCGAGAACGGAGCTCCAGGATGGTAGCGGGAAGGTGTAAGGGACGGTACCCGGCACGTCTCCACCAATTATAAAGGAGATTTATTAAGCAGAAAGGTTGGTGCTTGGAAGGCTTGGAAGGCGATGCACCAGCCTCAATTTCCGAGCTCGAGCCGCTGCTGCACACTCGATGCTGCTGTCTCTGCGCCGGAGTACTTCCTCTTCTTTACAATATATATATTTATCCACAGGTATAAGCATTTAAGTCACACGTCACCGCCCCATTATCAATATCTATGCAATGCCCCTTAGCACAGCTACTATTTTTAGGCAGTGCATTTCTCGTCCAACCACGTTAAACTTAAACTAGTTTTAAGACGACATACCGTCGAAAAGGTGCAATTTACATTGCGCATTTGTACAGAGACCCGCTATATTCAGCTTCGCCAACTGTGAACTTTCGGCGCAAAGATTGCATCTATATTTCTTTTTAAAAGAGGGGGGTGCAGCAGAACTACTAACTTTGGCAATTGGTTGTCGCTGTGAATGCGTGTAAATATTTTAGTACACCCTAAAAAGTTAAACCGCGAAATGCTTTCGTGGTGTAGGTGGTTCAGATTCCCTTCCTCTCCCCTCTCTACTAATGGCCTCCTGGTTCTCCGTGAGATTGAAACGGTATTTTTTAATATCACAGCTCTCTGAGCACTGCTAACTCCCAATAAATTGGCTCAGTTATTATGAATATTGTAGACGCCTAACCAACGAAGAAAGAGTTAAGTTAATCAATATAAGATACACCCTTTCTGAATTATTTTCGATCCCTCACAAGGGCTTTTGTGGAGCTCGAATTCAGTAGAGTGGCGTGTCGTACTTCAAGGGCTATGACATCATGTGCTAGACATGAATAATGGGCAGGTACGAATGAATCTGCATCAAGAAAGCGCACCAGAGGAGCCGAAGCGGATAGCAGTTCCTGTACGCGGCGCGCGGCTATTTCAGTACTACTCGAGTGCAGCGCTGCCGCTACGGGCAACGCGGAAGGCATCAGGTGGCGAGGCGTGGTCACGCCACTCAACACTTCTAGTACACTCTAGTACGGTCCTGCTGTTAAATTGATCTTCAACATGCCGCGCTATGGCAGCCTTATCCACAGTTCTCGGTTGAATCAGCGGCGCTCTTCTGGCTGTCAGACCACCCTTTCTAAGTGCGCTCACACGATTTACTACAGCTGCAACAAGGGTTTGTTTATCATTGATTATGAACGGTAGTCTATGGGATGAATATATGCCACCAATCATCCACATGGGGGCAGTCACGTTAAACTGAGTTAAAGCTGCAAAACACCAATGGACATTGTGCAAGCTCGCATATGAATGTACAGTAAACTTTCAACTACTTCTGTAAGGACGCGTTTCATCGACTCTCAAGGTGGAGGCATCAACGATATATCCTTTTTTTTTGAAAGATATCCTGTGCTGAACTTCAAACATAAGCACACAGAAAGACATGAAAAAGGCGGTGATGTGCTGTCATCTTTAATGTTTAATGCTTTATATCTTCAAAAGAACAATATGCATTGTCAAACGTGACATGTTTTGTTGATTGAGCAGCAAACACAAAAATAACATAGCCCCGCCGCGGTGGTCTAGTAGCTAACGTCGCGGGATCGAATCCCGGCTGCAGCAGCTGCATTTCCGATGGAGGCAGAAATGTTGCAGGCCCGTGGGCTCAAATTTGGGGGCACGTTAAAACACCCCAGGTGGTCGAAATTTCGCAGCCCTCCACTACGGCGCCTCTAATTGTCATATGGTGGTTTTGGGATGTTAAACCCCACATATCAACCAATCAATCAAATACAACATACTCTCCTTTAGTTCTTCGTCATATCTCTAACGAAACAAGTAATTGCAAAGAAATGACTGAGAAATTTAGCTGTTTGCATGGCGGACCTGACCTATGAGTATTCCCTTCACATTTGTTGCTTCTCAGAACCTCATGAAAAAACATGATGTGTCCCGAGTTGTATATTTATCATGGCATATAAAACAACCTGCACAACTTGAAGGGCATGGCATGGCATGGCTTGAAGGGCACAGCTTTCTGACGCTTCCTCCTAAAAAACAAATGCCTCTTTCAGTTGCTGTGTGCATCTTAAGCAGAGTCGTTGCAAAGTAATTTATTATTATCAGGACACTTCACTTCATGCATTTTTTATAGAGACGCTGTATTGTGAGAACTAGTGAATTCAGTGATCTACAAGGTGAGTAAAGGTTAATTTCATCATATCTAATTTCACGATTCTCAATGCGATGCAGATGTTACGAGGGGTCTAGACCAGCAATGAAGGCTCTTACGGTGCAGGTCAGTACTGCAGGCATGGCTGAGTCATGTGTTCATATACCAGTGCCAGATGTGGGGTCTCCTCACAATAATTTAACGCAGTTGCCAATGTGAATTGATCTTGAGATATTCAGATGTTGCCTTGAAAACTATGTTCCAATTATACTAATAAAACACGCCGTAAAATCTTTTTGATTACAAGACGTAAATTGCAGCTAAAAAGAAAATTTAAAAGACTTAAATCACATTGCTCCAACTAGAGCAGGATACAGTATAATCAGAAAATTGTAAAACAACCTATCAGTAACACAATGACGCACTACTTTATTCACACGCTGCCTAGTTTTATTTCTGGTTAACCACAAAAGTTTTTTCAATTTCTTTCAAAAAGTAAGAAGTCCATCGACCACATTGTACAGGATGACGTCATCGTTGATAAACAAGGCATTTCTGAAAAGTTATAACTTATTTTTACGGTGTCTCTTCCAACCTATTGAAACCTTACACCTGAATCATATCGCTTGTACTGAAACAAATCTTGTATCATTATTATTATTGCATTATATTGTAAAAACTTTAGTTAATTCTTTATTGATATTGTATAACTTTTTAGTTACACTTTTCCGAAATGCCCTCATAAAATTTTTCTTTTTGGACCCAAACTAACCTATGGCTATGGACCCACGCAGTGTATGCAAACTTTTTTTGTAAAGGTGTGACCAATAAAATTCAATTTAATTCAATCATTATCTGGCGTTAAATCAATGTTATTAAACCTTAAGGCAAGAGCATCGCCTGGGCCTGACAAAATGCCCAATATTTTCCTTCGCCTATATGCTGACATGCTCGCTCCATATATAGTTTTATTTTTGAGAAATTATTGACGAAAGCTGTAATTTCTGAGGACCGGAGGACGGCAAGGATTGTACCAGTGCTGAAGAACGGGTGACTTCGCATTACTATGAATTTAGAGACTGATATCTTTCACCGCATCTGGCTGCAAGCTTCTTGAACATATCGCTGCTTATATCACGTCATTTGTTGATGATAACAGTGCACTGCCTCAATTTCAGCATGGTTTTAGGAAAGGTCTTTCTGGTGTAACTCAACTAACCACAGTCATCTATAGTTCTGCCTCTATTCTAGATAAATAAGGCCTGGTAGACGTATTGTTTTGAAATTTTAGAAAGGCATTTGATTTTGTTTGCCATACAAAACTAAATTTAAAGCTAAATACTATAGGTCTACCTGAGTTTATTGTTGCTTGTGTTTGATTTGATTTGTGCGGTTTAACGTCCCAAAACCACCATATGATTATGAGAGACGCCGTAGTGGAGGGTTCCGGAAATTTTGACCACCTGGGGTTCTTTAACGTGCACCCAAATCTGAGTACACGGGCCTACAACATTTCCGCCTCCATCGGAAATGCAGCCGCCACAGCCGGGACTTGATCCCGCAACCTGCGGGTCAGCAGCCGAGTACCTTAGCCACTAGACCACCGTGGCGGGGCGTTGCTTGGGTTTCAGCATACCTTACAAACTTCACACAATTTCTGAATATTGACACTCATTTTTCGCACCACTTGCATGTTAACTCAGGAGTCTTACAAGGAAGCGTACTAGACCAGCTTTAATCTCTCGTATACATCAACGTCATCGTCCAGGTCATTATTGAAACAGTTAGGATTAACCTTTTCACAGATAATTGCTTGCTTTTTAATGCAATGAAATGTTAGAACTATCAAGCATTGCTGTATACTGACCTCCAAAACATACTAGTTGCATCTGTCATACACCGTTATTTAATTTTGCTTTGTTTTAGTTTTATCCCTCGCTATAGGTAATTTTCATGTCTAATTATATCAGTAGTATCACCATCATGGTATGTAATAATTGTATTGTTATTCGTAATAAGACTCATTAGTAATTCCTCACAAATTGGGACCTTTTGCTGTACTTTTTTCTTTTAAATACCCCTTTCACGTCGCCATAGGAGGTCCCCCCGTCAGTTTTTCTGACACTTTGGGACCTCCTTCTGTACTATTCCAACCATGTAACCGTATGGCAAATATGTTATAAACTTGACTTGACATGCGTATGTGGTTCCAAGAGTGGGAAATGCAACTTAACGCTGACAAAACGGTATTCATGAATATGAGTAGAAAGACAAACATTTCACGTTTTCCTTATAACCTTCCTTCAGTACAGCTAACGAAGGTACCGCTCTACAAATACCTCGGCGTCACAATAACCAGTACACTCATTTGGAACACCCATATTTGGAACATTTGTTCCTCTGCCTACATAAGTGGTGCTTTTTGAGACATAAGTTGAAACACACACTACCTGATGTAGAACTTTCTGTATATTCGTTCATTATAAGACCAAAGCTGGAATACGCATCCATTGTCTAGGACCCTCATACAGAAAATTGTGTTGAAGCATTGGAAATCATTCAACGAAAATCAGTTGGATTTATTTATTACAAATAACGCCAAGCAGACTTTCCTACTCGACTAATTATTCCCTATGACACCCCACCTTTGCAATTACAAAGAAAGATTGACTGAACAAAATTACTGTTTCACTTGAAGAATTGACAATTACTACTTTGCCCTGAGCCCTTTACGTGACACCATTGGCATCATGAACAACAAGACTTCGGCATAATTAATCACTAACCCCATACAGAAACAAAACTAACCTATCCAACTTCCCATTTTTTTTTCGCGCACAATTAACAAATTGAACTCACTGATAATATCATCAGTGCACAGCAAAAAGAAATCAAATGTCTTCAGGATTGATGCTAGCCTATTTTAAGTATGTTTTCTTTGTTGTGTGAATATTGCATATTACTTCCTCATCTTTTCGAGATGTTCACGATTGAGTGGTGCTGTGTAAATCAGATATTGTCTTTCTTCTGTTTATTTTTCCTTTCAAGGCACTGTGCGTAAATGGCTAGCCTCAATGAGTACACTTTTGCCCTTCCTGCCAGGGCCCGAGACGGGCCTGCAGTATCTGTAAAATAAATAAAATAAATTAGGGTAATGAAGGTAATGAAGACATTTAATGTAATGGAGGACATACACCAGAGTCACTAACACCCTGATGTGAGGCCACAATCATTGAATCTACACAAGTGAGGCTCACAGAAAGAATTTTTTCACCTCTTACGGCACTTCCTTGAGGTTTATAATTTCCATTGGAGAATCTCTAGAAATATCAGAGAAATTTTGTTGTCTGAGTGCCCAAAAATAGGCGGTGGTATTTGCGCGCAGCTGCAGTTACTGGCCCTGAGAGTATTCTCTCAACGCGGGTTCTTTATCATGCACCTAAATACACCTACTGAAGTGTTCTTGAGTTCCGTGTAATTTAAAGAGATGTAGTGCTTTACTTTGATCTAAACTGCATTCAGAGTCCTGGCGACCATGATACTTAACGTAATTTAACTGTCATTGCTATGCTGTTTTATCGGTGGTTATTTTTAGCAAAAAATGTCTTTTTATTTCAATTACAGCGCACACACTAATATATTTGCGGACTAAAGTGGGATAAGCTATATGGAATCGATATCGCTTCTCACGTTCTATGCCGGCATTGCATCGCTCTTTCTCCGAGGATACACATTCGAAGACACTGAAGTGAAATTTGTGAGATGTGAGTGAAGTCTAATTTTCATGATATATTTGTTCTTTCTAAGATCCGATAATATTCAGATATTTTGTTAGGTGTACGCAAATGGTTATTAAAAAAATCTGTTCGTAGAAATCTACGACAAATTGATTGATATGTGAGGTTTACTGTCCCAAAATCACCATATGATTAAGAGACGCCGTAGTGGAGGGCTCCGGAAATTTTAAATCAGCGACAAAAGGCATTGTGAATTCGCTGAAGCGTTCTTTATCAAAAAGGACAGTGACGAATGCATATCTGGACCAGCAATAGTTTCCTATATTGCGAGTTATGCACTCTTGGTCATATCAAAAACATCAGGCCTGTGCGGAACGCGCGGCACTTTCACAGCGAACGCTAGAAGAGCACCTTTAAGAGCCTTTTTTTAAACACTTTTTTGGTAGCTGCTGCAAGCCCACTTGCAGTGCACCCACTACGCCATTATTCATTGCTTAGTAGGCTGGCATTGGTTATGCCATCCTTGATAATTCTTTGCAAACGCGTGGTACTTGCTGCACAATCGCAGATAAGTTTGTGCAATTTTTGTGGGTTGTGGATGACGATGGGGTAGAATTATGCCAGAAGCCTTTGAAATCGCCACAATCTCCCACAGTGGGTATAGTGAACAAGATCAAGTTTTTGTAAAAGGTTGCAGCATTATACGACCCACTCCTTGCCCAATTCGCTTTATCTGACACCAGGTTGTGCCCTTGGTGTTCTATAACGCTTTAATACTCACATTAGCGCAATTAATTTCCCGACATCAAGCCTACCTAGAGCCAATCTACAAGAGATTTCCAAGCACCAGAGTGGCCCAGTGATAGAATACTGGACTGGCGCACACAGGACCAGTGTTCGAATCTCATTGCGTCATGGGTGTTTTTCACTTACTGACTTTCTTTTTCTTATTTCGTGCGATTGTCGTTACGGGGGCTGGTGATGACGCGATAACTACGGCGCGCACGTGACCCATGTTGTGATCTCATAACAGCTTTACCGTTAATAAAGTTGCTAACTGGATGTGATAAAGTAGTTGACTGAATGTGAAACTGTGCGCCTAGATGGTACAAAAGCTTACAAGTAACACACACACACACACACACACACACACACACACACACACACACCGCACCTCTGTGTATGTGTGGTGGTGTGCGTGTGTGTGTGCTTCCTTTAACAACTTCGCGTGCCACCTAGGCGCGCTGTTTCACGCTCCGTATGCACCAACTCACCCGTTAAGAAGCTGTGTAGCTAATTGGGCTGGTTGGTTGTGTGTATACCTAAGGTTAAGAGCGCAAAAAAATACTGCCACAGACAGGAAACATGGGACAAGCGCTGACTTCCTACTTAAACTTCATTGGCTGTTTCTTTTTTTAGCTGTTTCCTCGGCTGTACATAAAAGCTTCTTAATAATATTACTTCACTCAAAAGTCAGCGCTTATCTCAATAGTTTCTTGTGCAGGAAAGTGCTTTTTCATGCCGTTCAGCCCCCCTTCTAGGAAATTAACAATTCATTTCACGCCATATGAACCGATTGAACAAACTGAGGCTGTTAGACGGAGCTCGTAGTCGTCTTGTAGTCGTAGTCGCGTTGTCGTAGACTCCTCGTTTTGTGTTCTGTCCTGCTGAGGCAGAGGTTAAAAAACTTGTATCGTCTCCAACTCGCCCTCCTCTGTGTCTTACTACTATAAAGAAATCGTGCCATTCCATAGACGAAAGTTTCATATTCCCCATGAGCAAGCAGAAAATCCTGGTAGCGCCCAGCGTTGACATCCAATGGTAACGATAGATGAACTGATGAAGGCATACGATGGACTGATGATTTTAATCTACAAGTAAATGAGTACCCATGTGGCCTTGATCCTGAAAGCTGACCTTCATGCTTTCAAACGTAGAGTCGACCGTTGTTCGACGCAGACATGGCTACGTCACAAAACTGATTGGCCACGCCTAAAAATATCGCACCCCAAAATAAATTGAGACTCATTCGAAAGGTTAGGAGACGTGCGTTCAACGTAGGTCTAGCCAACGTTGAAATTGACTTGTCCCACCCGAAACATTTCGGTGCCCCCCCCCCCCCCCCCCAGAGCAAACTCAGCGGCATTTAAAAATTGAGTTCAGCGAGGATCAGCGCAGAGCTGGCCCATTAAAAAAAATTTAGGGTAGCTACGCACCAATGGCGCGAACACTGCGGCCGCAACGCCACTCGCCCTCTCCTTTCCCACTTTCTCAGCTTCACATAGTCTTTGCTATATTAGAAAGAGATAGGTTTATTTAGAGAAAGGCAGAGAGGTCGGCCTGAGCTATAGCTTGCTCTAGCCTGCTACTCTACATTGCGGGAGGGGAAAGGGGAGAAGATAGACTAATGGACGACGATGGTGAGATAGAGAGGTATATAGAATTCTCGCTATCTGAGACGAATTTTATAGCCCCGCATATTGTTCAGTTACTTCCAAAAAGGTTATAACCGCTCTTATGACCACAACTGCACTGTTGTTGTCTGGCCAAGGGCCCAACACGGTCTCATCAGTTAATGGCCTACTGCGATATCGTTTTGTAGAAGAAATCAATGTCTGTCGTTCACGTGTGTAAGCTGGGCAAACACGAAATATGTGCTCAAGTATTTCTGGCACATCACAGTGTTCCCAATTAGGACCGGTGTCACTGCGACCGATGATATGTGCGTAACTTCTGGTGCACGCCACACCAAGACGAATGCAGTGGATCATACTTGTGAGGTGCCGCTTTAATTTAGGGGTCATGCGGGACCTCATTTCCGAGTCCAATTTGTGAAGTCACCGGTGTCGCCGTTCCGGTTTGGTCAAGTGCTGATGTGTGTAGCTGCGCATCACGCAGCGAAGCAAATCGTTCCTCTCAGCTCTTGAAAACGCAATGCGCACTTCAGGGGCGCTGCTTAAGGCATTTTAAGCTTTAGCGTATGCCTCTTCGTTTCCCATCCCGCCGCAATGCGTGGGAATCCACTGGAAAGTGATAAGATGGCCATTTGTTGAAGCAGCTTGAATAAGTTCTGCAATTTCTATAGCCAAAATGTAATATGGAGCTTGCTTCATGATGCAATCAATGGTTTGCAAAGCGGGCTTGGCATCACAGAAAATCGTACAGGCTCGAGGTGGCTCTCCGCAAATAAATCTTATGGCTTCCGGATAGGGAGAAGTTGTGCGGCAGTCGATGTGGTTTTATGGTCCACTTTGAATCGTGGAGCGATATTCATGTTTGGGATGACAAAGGCTGCGGCGGAAGTGTTTAGTGTGGTGGACTTGTCGGTGTACACGTGCAGAGAATCACCGTACGTTGTATAAATGTGATGTAGGGTTAGTTGTCTGAGGCCAACAGAAGAAACGAGCGACTTCTTCGTAATTCCAGGTATCGTAAGAAAAACAGGTGGTTTAGGCAGGACCCATGGAGGCACTGCAGGAACATTTGGCGGGGAAAACCCTGATGGTAGAATATTCTCATGCCACAATATTACTCCTGAGAAACTGCACTCTGAGCGAGTGGCGGGTAGTACTGATAGTGGCTGCTGGCTATTTTTATAGGTGAACATAGGTTGGAAGGTGGTCACTGCCACGAGTGTCCAAATCCAAATCTGTGCACCAACATGCTGAAGACAGAAGGCTTCTGGAAACGATACAGAGGTCGAGGTAGCTGCTGTAGGACGTGCCACGGATAAATGTAGGTGATCCGTCGTTGAGCACACTTAGACCATAGTTGCATATAAAGTTGGTCAAATCCCTTCCACGATAATTCATTGTAGTGCTACCCCAGAGAGAATGGTATGCATGAAAATCACCAATAACATGTGCGGCCTTTGTGCTGCTAGAATAATGGTCCCCAGGTGGAAGCAGTCTATATGCGCGTTCTGGTGTATGTATCCTCCTATTACTGAGAATGTCTGCTTTTTATGTGTTATAGTCAGGCTCACGTAATCATTGCTGGTATGTGGCGTGACATCCTGTCTCAAGAACGTCAAATCACGGCGTTTACAAACAAGAACTTTGCAGGTATGTTGATCACTGCGGGAGTGAGTCTGGCTATATCCAGATATTCGAAAAGTTGAAAGCATACTCGCTTCACATATAACAATAACAGGAAATTGATATTTGAAAACCCATAGCCTGAAGTCCGACAGACGGCCACGTAGACTATGACCATTCCATTGCATAACAAGCGACTGGCGCATGCGTTCTTCAAACATCAATGCCATATTAACTTATTGAAGTACCAGTAGAAGAAGCTCCAAACCTCAAGTAGCTGCACAGCCGCCTTAGCAGCGGGAGTGTTTAGGCTGTTGAGGATCTTACGCATCGAACCCATCAAATTCTTAAGCATAGCCTTGACATATGCGTTGTCCGTCTTCTTGTTTTCTTCACTGGGGTTAGGGGCACTATGTGATGATGGCGCTACGGCGGCTCTTGACGGTACTGAATGTCTCCGACGTGGCGAGAGCCAATTACAGGTTGCCTTGCCACTTCTGTGGACCGTATTGACAGTTGCACATCTGTATCTTTCTTTCTGGCCGAAAAAGGTAGGCCAGGAGGCGGTGAGGGCACAGCTTTGTGTGTTGAATTTGATAAGCTATGAGAACTGCTGCTTCGTTTGCGTCGGTGTCGCGAATGGTGTTTACGGTGACGTACAGCCCTTGCAGCTTCTCTGTGAGTGGAGTGGTCTTGAACTAATTTCTTCAGGATACTCATTTCATTCATCATTTTGGGACATTCCGTTGATGTTGCGCCGTGAGCGTCTGATAAGTTTGGGCATTTGGTCCCAGCATTGCAGTTATCACCATCATGAAGGCCACCGCAATGCTTGCAGGCTACTGCACCCTTTCAAACTACACTAAAGTGCCCAAATTTCATGCATTTATGACATTGGAGAGGTTTTAGTACGCAAGGACGTACCGAGTGACTCACATATCCAACTTTTACATGTGTGGGTAACGTCTTCGACTGAAACACTACTTTAACACATCGCGTCTGTTCAAAGCGGTGGAAACTAAGCACAGGAGCCGATGATGACAGCAGTTTCTCGAGACTTGAGTCTGTTATCTTCTCATCCACAACGTATATAACTCCTGTTGTCGTTTCTTCATCGTACGCAGAGAGTGCGCTAACCAGAATATTTCCCAATTGAACAATCGCTTTCAGCGTGTCCAATAAGGCCTTCGTAGTGACCTCCGCGGACAGGATGTTCTTTAGAGTATTTATGCGTATTTCTACGACTTTCCCTGGGGCGATGTGCTCAAAGTACTCCGACAGGCTCTGCCTATTCGGAGAGTTCAAGATGCCTGTCTTCCATGTCGGCTTATATGAAATTGTGTACGACCGCATGCTACTCGCCTTTTTCTGTGCTTGCCGGGCATTTGGCGATGTCCGGCTGATTTTTCTCTTCAGGCGTAGGCTTGGTACGACCACGTAGTCACTGTCCAAAGCCATATCTTCAATGGAGGAGTCATCAGAATCGTCGACGTGGACCACGCTTGGGCCGGGTTGAGAACTTGCGTCAGACGCACTATGATGGTGTCGGCCCGGTCCCGGTTGCTGGATGGGGTTTTGGTCCCCCGTTCTAATTATGATGGGGTCGGCCCGGTCCCGGTTGATGCTAAGGAAGAACGTCCCTCCGAGGTGTGTCGATTAACGAAAAATCTTGTCAAAAGAATTGGAAAGCTCACAGAGCTTGAAGCAGAGGTTGTTCTGTGTGACCACTTCTTCATCCTTCCTGTCGCAACACATTCAGACCGCAGAGAATCAGAATACTCTTGCTATATTATATACGCTATATTATAATATATGCTATATTTGCTATCCCCCCAGTACTCTGTGAGCACTCATACTTTAGCCCATGAGAGTAATTGCATCCCGGGCCCTACAAATCGGTGAGTTCGGGGATCGATCAAGAAGTTAGAGAAGAAGATAAAGAGAGCACGCGATTGTTCATGATGATGATAGTTCCTTGGTGTCTCTCCACGGCATCACGAAATGCTTAGTAGCTCCGCTGCAGAAGTTGACTTGAACCACAAGAAACAGGCTGACACTTCCTTTGAATGACTTCGTGCTATTCTAGGCTATGACCAAATGCTCATGTCACATGACTTGATTACATAACGAAAAAAATATGAAGTTGCTCGGTCGCGCGTGACGAAGCGATCACGTCATCTGATAACCTTACGTTACAAGGTAATTTATACAGTAGAGACGTCGAAATTGTCGCTAAGCACAGCCAAGCCATGGCTTTCGCGGCCGCCCCAATCTGCGCCGTCGCACTGCGTGTGGTTAGCGCTGCGTGACCGTGAGAGCTGTGGCGTTAAAGAAGAATCCTAATATTCTCGCATTCAATGCACGTGAGGAGGTAAGATTAACCCAACCACTTTTCTGACCCCAACTGAGCTTCACACAGATCCAGAGAGAGCGCACCAAACGCAGAACTTTTCGTTTTACGTACTTAAGTTTGACGCACTGCTTACCCCAGCCAATCGCAGCTGTCTTCTGGTGGCCTCATTGCAAGCGCAATTAAGGCCTCACTGGACAAGTGGCACACTGCTATTTTTCAGAATACCATAGATTTAGGTAGACCAAAATCTTTTTTTGAACTATTTATGTAGAAAGGCAACACGTTGAAATGAAAGAGATGTAATGATATGCCCTCCCGTAGAAAGAGTTAAAGTGGCCATTAGTGATCCTCGCAGCCACACGAAACACATGTGCCGAATGTAGCTGTCAATGCCTCACATACGGTGAAAAAAAGTGTGCGCCTTTGCGTGCCGAATAAACAAGCAAAAATATATATAACTTTCAGATATCAATGGAACCGTTTGACTGAAAACCCGAAACATATCAGAAATAAAAATTGGGCTGATCCCACGTACCTGGGAATCGACGTTATGCGAAGCATGCGGAGGGAAGGTGACCGTGTTGTATTTTTTTATTGAGCGAAGCGTCATGAAACGACGCTAAATATATGTACAGATGGTGCACGCACAGACATATGTTGAAGAGTTGCAGATGTTCATATAACCATTGTTTGTACTTGCGCAACAATGCCAACTGAAACATGCGTATCAGCAACCCCAGAAGCTGATATAAAGCGCTGATGCTCGCGAGAATGCTGACCCTGGACGCTGCTACATAAATCAACTTTGCACTGCATGGCAACTAACCACAATTGACGTTAACCCGACGTGACGGCTGTATCAAAGGGGTACACAGGTAATGTTCATAAAATTGGGTAGGCAGTAATGCAACCACTATTGGCGTTTCACGAAGATTAGTGTTTATTTGAAAAGTAGTACCGAGACCTAGCATAGCTTCGTGGTAAAATGCACCATTTCCATGCAAAATGCTTGGGTTCGATTCCAGCTGGGATATTGACATTTATTCTTCGTATTCGTCGGGTTAACGCTACCGATGTCCGGCACTTCCTAACGCTCACGCATTAAAATTGCCCATGTGTGTTCTCGTAGTTCCTGAGTATGTGTCAATCACCTGTTGAATATACCCGCATACCAGTGGCACATACCCGCCCGTGGGTATGCGCCACTGTCTGGCGGGAAGCGTTTGACCACATACGCGACGGAATTGTGAGATTAATCATGTGTTCACCAGCGCGTCATATTCGTAACACCATCTTATCCTTCCATGCTAATTTTGATACACGCCAAGTTAAAGAGGTGTATAAGTGAGTACCCAAACGTAAGTGGCTAGGAAGATACACTCAAAGTCACCGAAGTTCGCAAAGAAATGCTTCGCATTTAAAAGCTACAATTCCTGGGCAATCTTGTGACTCGGGTTCAGATTTATGATTTCCGTTGGCACTTGAGGATTCGCTTATCGATTAAGAGCAATCGAAACTACACGAGAACTACGAGAATGATCCTTAATTACTTCCATTGGCGATTCATATTTTTCAGATGCCTGCATGTACAAGCACCATTACGTTCCACATCACTATAGCCCGAAAGATGAGTGCAAACGAATTACATGCTCTGTGCAACAAAGAACGCTTATGATTGAAGAGTAAGTGTGGTGGTATTTTTTTATATGCGTGAGCCTTTCTACACCAACTAAATGTCAGAACGGTTCGTATATTTCCTCTAATGTAAGATGACTGGCTATATAGCAATAAATGTACGAACAAAGTGAATTTTCTTGGTTACGCTGCGTATCGAACACAAGCTTCTAGTCTACGAAGGGTAGTGGTTTAACTACAGCGCAATTTTCTGAACGCTCCGAAGACGTTTTTGTGTTAGACAAAACTAGACAAGAGACATTAAATACCTTTTGGACATTGAAGTCTTTGTTTTGTCTCCACCTTCCTATTCGTCACAATCAACGCCTTCTCTCTCTTTTTTTACCACGCCCACCGAATTCATTACGCTGAAGAGCAGGCCAGAAAATTGATTCAGACTGACTTCTCAGCTTTACTGTCATAACAAACATCGCTGTATTTCTGCACTACACACCAGGGGCCAAATTCTCACAGCTTTCTCTTGGCTGCGCATTTTCTTCGCAAAGAATTTTCTTATAACGAAGGGGCGCGATACCAATGGCATGCATTTACCTTACTCGGAACTTTTGATGGCAAGGAGGACACACAAAAGGCGATGAAAAGACAAGGAAAGAAGTGAGTGCCGATGATAGGAAGGTAGCACACGAAGCGTCTAGCATTGAGAGTGTACGATGCTAGCCAATGATTTGCTGCATCTAAGCATCCAGTTCCGCGGGCGTCTGCTACAGCGCTCAAGCGCTGTCACGTTGTAACAGACATCCGCGTGTCTTGCGCAAAGCTAGACACCCCCGTTTCATCATTGATCGTAGCTAAAAGAAATCAAAACATAAGATTGACTGATATATGGAGTTTAACTTCCCAAAACCACCATATGATTATGAGAGACACCGTAGTGGAGGGTTCCGCAAATTTCGACCACCTGGGGTTCTTTAGCGTGCACCCAAATCTGAGCACACGGGCCTACAACACTTCCGCCTCCATCAAAAATGCAGCCGCCACAGCCGGGATTCGATTCCGTGATCAAAAAATTTGGCAGATACCACGTAAAGTGGGAATCGATGATGTGCGAAGCATGAATGAGAAATGTTGATATGCTACATTAAAATCAGCACAACATTATAAGGCGGAGGTAAATGATGCCGTACATGACTTCCATGTCATGATTATTATGTTTGGATGTGTCATTTACCATGGTCATCCATTCACGTCACGTGATACTAAATTTAGTATATGTAGAGCTAGCGAAACGACCGTGAGCACGCTATGAGCGTGGTATGTTGTCATGTTCTTACATCAAACATGTGTCAGGATTATCATGTTTGCACCAATCATATACCTTGGTCATCTATTGACGTCACGTAATGCCAAATTTGGTATATGTAGTGCTAGCAAAACGGCCGCGAGTGCATCATGGCGTGGCATGTAGTCATGTTGCTACATGACACGCATGTCATGATTTTCATGCTAAGGTCTCTTGTTTGTGTTCGCCATGCAAACATGTCATACCATATTAGTTTTGCAGCATGACATGTGAACTAAACCACCGCAAAACCTGCGGGAGCACGGAATGTAAATCATGACACTCATGACATGCATATCATGATTTTCAAGTAATGGTTAGTCCAATATAGTCCTCATACAGTCATGTTATGCCATACCAAGTTTAGTACCGATACCATTATCGAGACGGCCAGGCGAGCTAAAAGTCGTAGGCGGTGTTACAAAGCGCGCCTCCGATGACGTTACGAAGGGCGCCACGAAATCTCACCGCTGCAACCACTGTTACGAAAGCCGGCGACGCCAACACGGTCCCGAAGGCGCCACTGCTCCGATCTCTGCCGAAACGGTCACCAGCCGTTTGGTAGCGTAGGTTTCTCAGCTCGCGACTACTTCTGCGCAGAGCTGATAGACGAGTGGACGAAACGACGGTGAGTTAAACAAAGTTTATGTACAGCATAGATACAGATTCATTACAAATTCGGCACTGGGGGCGACAGTTTAGAGACTCCAAGAGCCGAGCTCTCTTCTCTGACACATAGATCTCCTGCTCGCGACGCACCGCAGGGCTTTTTTTATATGCACTGGGAGGATTCCTTGAGAAAGCAAATGTCCAACCAGAAGCGCCGCTGGCCTTGAGGTCAAAATCCTCCAATGGGGTCGCCGCTGGGCCGTGTCATTCTCATCGAATCCGGAGCTGCTGCGCGTGGTTGCAGCCAAGGACGAGTGACGTCGCTACGCATTTCGCAAGTCTCGCCAGACAGGAAGGCGCCGATTGCTTCGACGGGCTCGCTGTGCTTGCGCGACAGAAAGGCACCGCTGCGTGATGACGCCGCTGAGATGTTCGCGTCAGGAGGGCTCGCGTGCTGGCCTTGACACAGATTGACTTTTTCAGAGGCATGGACGTTCGGTGTGGACTCGCAGGCATAGCACCACCCCCGCCGCCAGACAATGCGCCGGAAAGATGAGCTGCTTCCACGTGGCTCGGATCGCCAGGTCCCTCCAGGTTCGCCTCCAGGGCTATGGGAAGAATGCAGCTCCAGACTCTATTCCGGGAACACATCCCATTCTTTAGGACGGATCCCAGCTCAACTGACTTGTCACCACAACTTGTCGAACAGCTTCGCTCGTCTCTTCTGATGATCTTTGGTCTCAGCACTTGTCGATGGTTCTGCAACTGGTCAAGAACGGTTCGACAACAGACAACACACGACACAAGCAAGTGACCTCGGTCACCCGAGAGAACACCAGGCAAAGTATATTACAACATATACCTAGCTACGTGTCTATCGGAATTTCGTTGCCTCTACACCAAGAGACACATGTGGGACACAAGACTCTTAAACTGAGAACTTGAATGTTTACATGTACAGCAACATAACGAAATAGAATAAAACATAAAGTTGGCTCCTTGAGCTCATTCTGGACGAGAGCGCTCAGCCAAAGCCGTGATGAGGACAAAAGTTTGCCCCGAATCGCCAGCGAGAAACCGAAAGGTGGAGAAGGTACAAGTTAGAACGTTCGGCTCAATGCACCTGCATTAGCGTCTAGCTTTCCGTTTTTCGTAGCGAACGTCAAAGTTATGTTGTTGGAGTATCATGCTCCGCCTCAGTAACCGGCCACTTTTAGGCGACGATACCTATGCGGTACCAACAGCTGCTCACACTTGCGACGTTGCACAGGTGAACAACGATAGGGCTTGCTACGGATTGGCTCCTCACAAGTTAGCTCGATATCGTGTTCAATCACCGTCGTGTTTCCGGGACGGTCCGAAAACACGTCTTCAAACACGGAAGCAATCTTTCTCAGGTCCTCCTTCTGGACTTCACTTGACCTACGCTCTAGGTTTAACTGCTCCAAAATTACTTCCGATCCCCTTTCGACTACATCACTAGTGGTCAGAATTTCTGCTCCCTCTTCCTCTGAAGTATTCAACAGTAGATTTACGACCGCTTGGCGTTGAACGTATGGTTTCATCAAGTTACTGTGGTAAATTTTGTTTGGCCGCCTTCCTAATTTCACTTCATAAGTGGTATCAGAAAGCTTCCATATTACTTTGGCGGGCCCTTCCCAATGAACCTCAAGCTTGTTCTTTTTGGGTGGCCGCAGCAGCATTACCTGACTTCCTACTTCAAAAGCGCGCTTTTTCGCCGATTTGTCGTAGTACTCCTTCGACAACACTTGTGCAGCTTTCATGTGGCTTCCACTAGCGCTTTGATCGAGAGGTCCTCACGTTGCTCTCGAATGAGTGTCTCGCGGTCAACCCTCGACCGCTCGCTCCAACTTTCCGCTACAGGCGAGAGCGTTGCACACCTCTCGCTGTGACTCAATGGCGCCATGTCGTCTCCCTCCCGCTACGGAAACCGCGCCAGTCGCTTCGGCGACGAGCCGCTCGAGTGACTGCTCACATGACTCACACGGAGAATTTCCGCTCTGAGGCGCCGTCGACTCGCCGCCAAGGTCACTTGATGCTTCATCACGTTGAACAATATCAAGCTCCTGCGAAAGCTTCCGCGCTTATGATCGCGTGAGGGCCAGGTACGCTAAGTTGGGGAAGAAAGATTTACCCTGCTCTTTGAGAAGCTGCTTCGAATTGTTAGAGAAAAGATAAGGAAAACGATCGGGGAGCGCGGGAGAAACAGCCGCTTCGGTGCGAAGCTTACCGAACGGGCCTTCAATGACAACCGTAGCGATTGGTAAGCAAGCACTCTGCTCCTCAGCGACTTGCTTGATCCACGCGCATTCTCCTGTAAATTCATCCGGAGACACCAATGAAGGATGGACAACGTTCATGGTTGCCACTGAGTCATGAAGTGCTCGACACGTTTTCCCATTCGCACTAATTTCTTGGATATACAGCTATAACAACCGCAGGTTCCTTTCCGATTCTCTGATCATTGCAAAAGCAAACTTTTGTTTACAGTTTATCACGATGTGCCCTTCCTTTCTGCGGTTGTAGCAGATTCGTGGCTTCCGTTGATTAGGTTTCTTCGAAAAGCCCTTTTTCTTTTCATCCATTTCAACGCGCACTCCCCTGCTATACAACTTTCGGCGAGTATAATGCTCCTCAGCTAACTCTGCTGCCTTGTTTAGCTGTACTTCACCATGTTTGTCCTGCAGCCAAAGCTTGACATCCTCCACGATGTGGCGGTAAAATTGCTCCAATGCAATGCATTCTACCACTTTATCGAGCTCGTCATAAACACCTTCGCCCTTGAGCCATTCAATTAAATCAGGTTTAAGACGAGCCCCGCCGTGGTGGTCTAGTGGCTAAGGTACTCGGCTGCTGACCCGCAGGGCGCGGGTTCGAATCCCAGCTGCGGCGGCTGCATTTACGATGGAGGCGAAAATGTTGTAGGCCCGTGTGCTCAGATTTGAGTCCACGTTAAAGAACCCCAGGTGGTCTAAATTTCCGGAGCCCTCCACTACGGCGTCTCTCATAATCCTAGAGTGGTTTTAGGACGTTAAACCTCACATATCAATCAATCAAGCTTTAAGACGGAACGCGAAG